CCGTCGGGGGTGTGGACTGGGGGGCTTTCGTTTCATTTTGTCTTTGGTTTTCAGAAACCGTCTGTGTGACCGTCCCCGTCGTAAGGGGAAGTTGGGAGCGGAGGGGGAGGTGGTGGTGCTCCAGGAGAAGCGTCGCCCATGCGTGGAGTGAGACCTTCCCCGAGCAGATCCCAGGGCATCTCTGCCCCCAAAGTCACTTTGATTGGATTTCGATGACTTTCTCATAAATGGCACCACTTAGGTGCCAGTTGAGGAAACAGACACCACAACGGTTGATTTGACCTCCAACCAGAATTTATGCAGTTAGCACCAGAAGCCTGGCAGAGTTTTGAACCCAGGTTTGGTATTTGATGGAGACGTGTCCTTCTTTTCCAGTTTTCATGACCTTCTTGCATCTTCATATCCTGTATAAAGTAGTTACTTGCCTAAGGTGAATTTGATGGTTTCAGTTTTCTTACTGAAGTTGGGTCCCTTCTCCAGGGTTTCCCCAGTTCTTTCAAAGAGGAAGAGTTGTAAATGCAAATGTATGCTAAGGAAGTGTAGTTAACCTCTACAAAAAAAATCGGTATATGTAAATTTTTATTCATATTAAGGGAAGCTCATAACTTCAGTAATACCCTTGCAGTATTCTTAAGAATTCATGCTCAAATTGGATGTAGGGGTACATGCCTGTAATCCCAACTGCTCTGAAGGCTGAGGCAGGAGGATGGAAAGTTTGAGGCCAGCCTCATCAATTTAGGGAGAACCCAGTCTTGTAAAGGACTGGGGATGTGGCTCAGTGGTAAAGTGCCCCTGGGCTCAATCCCTGGTAAAAAATAAATAAATATATTAAAAATTAAAGCTCAAGAATTAGCTTTTTGGTTCAAAGGCAAAAATTAACCGGTGTATAACTTTCCTTCCCCTTCCTCCTGAGTTTGAAAAAATATTGGCCTAAGGGGCAGGCCAGTGGTCCTTGGGTTTCAGACTCTGTTCATTTCCTTGGTTTTGGATAGAGAAAACTAACCAAAGAATGTCTTTAAATCTTAAGTAGTACAAATAGTATATTGAACATATTAATTGGTTGTCTATCGACCAAGAGGCATTTTGGTGGGGGTATTTCTTATTTGAAAAATAATTGTCAAGTAGTGAAAAGATATTTTTAAAAGCTGCCTGTCACCTGATCTTATCATTTTATTGATTTTGAAACAGTATCTAGTGAGTTCAAAGAATCTTTTAATTTTTTAAAGGAAAGTATTGCTGATCCTTGTAACTGTTAAATTTCCAAGAAACATTTTATCAGTTACTCATAGATGGAGTCCTGACCAAACATATAAGTTCTTTTGGTAAACTCACAATTTTGTTAATGAGAAGTTTTATAAAAGTAATAAGGCCACAGGGGATTGAAAGACTTTGAAGTTTGAGGTGTACCTGAAAATGAACATTCCTGAAACTTCTTGACTCATGTGGTGGGCAACACGTGGTTTGAACTTTCATGAACTCTTCAAAATCTGCATTGTCAGCCACATAATTTACCTCACAACTGCATTGACACAGATCTATGGGTTGAACATTTAAGAATTCATTTTACTCCCAGTGGCCTGGGAGGCTGAGACAGGAGGATCACAAGTTAAAAGTCAGCCTCAGCAATTTAGTGTGGCCTTGAGCAACTTAGCGAGAACCTGTCTCAAAATTTAAAAACAGATAAAAAGGAATGGGGATGTGGCTCAGTGATTAAGCACCCTGGGGTTCAATCCCTGGTACAAAAAGAAAAAAAAAGAATTCACTTTCTTTTTGTCATATAATATGTAGCAAGAGAATATCCTATTGAATTTTAGAAGTGGCCTTTTATTCAAATACTAACCATTTTGTCATTGTTAATGTAGGATGGACTCAAGTCCTGTGCCATATTGACAGTTCTTTCCAATTTAGGGAGAACTTTAGGTAGAAACATAATTGGAAATAGACAGTTTTAAGCTGTAAGAAAGCCGATTTGCACTTTGAGCTTCTGTAACCTTAGATTTTGTGATTTATACAAGTCTTTAGATTCCTGGTTTCTTTGAGAATATTAGAGACTAGTTGAGGAAAATAGATAAAAAATGGGGCCTGTGGTCTCAGGGGTAGAGTGCTTGCCCAGCATGTGTGCAGGCCCTGGGTTCAACTCCCAGTCCTGCAAAGTAAACAACAAACAAACATTCAAAAAAAATTGAGTTTTCCTTCTGAAAATATATGAGAGCTCATGTTGGGTCTTTATCTGAGGGCTATGAAATTATGTGGGCCTTTGTGGATATTTCTGAAGTATGCTTTTAGAGTAAAGGTTATGCTGGGCTCTGTGGACCTCCAGGAGTGGTTAGAGATTCATCTTTTTATTAAATAAAATGGGGGGTGAGAATATTCATGTCCAGGAGGAAAAAAGTTGTCAAAAGTAGAGTTTTGAGCTCAGTACTTTAAATATGTCTTCAGCCTCGTCCCGTGGGCCTCAGAGCTGCAGAAGCACTTCCATTTTGTTCCCACAGCAGATCTTGCCTGTCAGTTGATGAGCCATGCACATACACAAAGGGCAGGCTGGCCTGCCATGCTCGCCCTGGGTGCCTTGCGACCTAGTCATTGTATCTAAAAGTTCAGGATAGATTGAATAAGCAGGGACTCGAGTCCTATGCCGTCCCTTAGAGTAAGTGGTTCACAGCTTCACGCTCTTATTTCTCCCCAGCAAATGTGAAATCTGACTAGGAGGCAAGCAGTCACTCCAGGAAAATGTGTTTGTGCCTTGAAGGGAACACGATGGGAAAAGAGTTTCTGTGTCAAAACAGACCTAGGTTCAAGCCTAGGTTCTCTCATGCACTGTGGCTACTTAACCTGCCTGACCTTCTAGTTACTCATGTGGACAGCAGCTGTCTAGCAGAGTTGTTCAGAGGCTGGCTAGAAGTCTGTGTGTGTGTGTGTGTGTGTGTGTGTGTGTGTGTGTATTTTTTTTTCTTTTTAGATATCCATGGCAGTAGAGTGCATTTTGACTTATCATATATACATGGAGTCTAACTTCTCATTCTTGTATTTGTATATTATGTGGAGTTTCCCTGGTCCTGTAGTCTTACACGAGCATAGGAAAGTTCTGTCCAATTCAATCTACTGCCTAGAAGCTTCTTGTATAAAATTAAAAGCCCTCCTTTGTCCTAGAGGAAGGAAGGACTTAAAAGCCAGATTTAGGTAGCCATAAACATTGTAGTAAACATGCATAATCGTATGCTAGTGTACATTATTTTCAAATAATGTAGCTATTAACCTATAAAACTTTTTAAAACCAGGTTTTCAATAGTGTGGTAGAACTGAGTGGTCTCCAGGCTAAAGACATTTGGAGGTACATTTGGCATAGCTGAAGACATGCATGCTCCCCAGGAACAAACAGTGGCCACCCTCCAGCACCAGAGTTCTCTCTGTGGGCAAGAGTCCTTCGAACATTTCCTCTGTATTTGTAATTTAAATTCAGAAATTGAAGTTCAGGGCTTGGGATATAGCTCAGTGGTAGAACTCTGTTTAGCCTGTGAGAGGCACTGGGTTTGATTGCTATTTTAAAAAAAAAGGGTTGGAGTTGTGGCTCAGTGGTAGAGTGCTTGCCTAGCACGTGTGAGGCCCTGGGTTCGATCCTCAGCACCACATAAAAATAAAACAAAATAAAGGTATTGTGTACAATTGAAAAAATAAATTTTAAAAAAACTTTACATGTATTTTCTAGTCTGTTACCCCTAGAAATGCTTCATAATTCCCTCCTTTTGGGGATCCTTACAGTACCTCATGGACTAAGTGGGTGGAAGATACACCTATAACTTTGCCTAATTTCTTCTTATTTTTAATTTATTTCTATTTACACACACACACACACACACACACACACACACACACACACCAGGGATCAAACCCAAGGCTTTGCATATGCTAGGCAAGCGCTCTGCTACTGAGCCACATCTCCAGCCCTTTTTGAAATTCTGTTTTGAGAAAGGATCTCAGGATGCTGTCCAGGTTGGCCTTGAATTTGAGATCCTCCTGAGTACCTGAGATTACAGGTGTGTGCCCTGTTCCCTGCTTATCTGACTGGGTATCTGTGTCCATTTTTCTCAACAGGAAAAGGAGTCGTCTTGTAGAACTGAATCATATTTTCCTTTAAATGTTAAAAGAGGGCATTATATGTTGAAAAGGTGTAAGTTGTATGAGTAAAATACTTAGAATGCTCATGGCCTTAAAAATAAAGTTGTTTCTTCTATTTCTGGGGTCTTTCCCCTTTCCTCTCATCTGTTCCTGATGAGCATTTCTGCCTGCTGATTTGGACTGATGGTTATGAACTTGGACTTTAGCCTGGAATCTGGATTTGACTCTTCTTTTTACAAGTTCTCTGGTTTTCTTCAACTTGGTCCAGTAAGCTTCTCTGAGTTTGAAGAAGGTGATCATTAAATGGAATAATAAATGCACAAAACTTTACTCAGTCCTGGGACCCTAGGAAGTGCTCTGAAAGTGGTAGCCATTTTGAAGATAGTTTCGATCTCATCTTTAAAAGGAGATAACATTTAGTCAGGTTCATTCACACATAAGCATTCTGGAACCATCCTACCTTCAGCTCAAGATATCCTTTCATACCTGCTTACCACAGGCAAGTACCCCAGCCTGTCGGACAATCAGACCTGTCCATTGTTCTTAGCAATGGATGATCTCTTCTGATGACAGTGACTGGTTATGTCAAAATCGTGGGCAAGTCAAGGGCCAAACCATCCAGCCTGCCCAGGTTTGGAACCATGACCCATTTAAAAATGATAGGATTTTATAGCCTAGAGCAAAGGTCAGCAAATTTTCTGTAAAGGACCTATTAAGTATTTCTAACTTTTCCAGCCGTCCAGGTCTGGTGTACCTACTCAGCTCTGCCACTATGTCCAGCAGTGAATGGCTGTGCTTGGGCTCTAATATAACTTATGGACACTGATATCTGAATTTCCTGTCATTTTTAAAATGCCATAGAATACTTTTTTCCTCTTATTTTCAATTATTTAAAAATATTTTAAAAACATTCTTAGTTCATGACTTGTGTAGACAATAACTGATTTGGCCTGTGGGCCCTCATTAGCTCACTTCATGCCTAGAGGAATATTAGATCCACGGATTTGTGACATCGCCAAGCAACATACCCCTCCAGTTCCCCCATATAAACGCACACATCCTGCTACTTTTCCCTTCATGTAGTCTGTGCTTTAGGTATGGCAGCCTGATGTAATGCTTCCTTCTCACTCCAGCACGTTGTTATCAGTCATAGTGAGTGGCCTTCCCTTCTTAGTGTGTATTAGAGTGTGTCACCAGTTAATTATATTTATTGCTAAAAATGTTCTCGCCTTGCCTGGTTTTCCACAGAGCTCCCTGGTGGGACACTCTTGGATGATGGTTTTGAAGGGAATGGGTGCATTTCCAGCTGTCTGG